AAAAATAAAAAAAGAAAAGGCTTAGTTGTTTTTTACGCATTTTTTCTCATTGTGCTTTATAATGATGTTTATGTTTCCTTGTTACCAGTCGAGGGATCCAGCTGACCAAGGTGCTTGGAAATATAAAGGCACGGGTCAACTTATTATCAAGTGCAAGGAAGGCATCAGTACGGGCACAAAGGAATCTAAACCAACTATAGTTATACGCAATGATGTAGGTTCCACTCTCATATATTGTAATCTTTTTTTGTTCAATTACTTACCTATTTGTCACCCATCCTTATTTAATTATCTAGTTTGTCATATTTCGTGGAGTTAATAGAATACGATTTTGAAATTTGTAACCCAATTTTTCCTGAGTTTGCTATTGAATGAGGTGGCATGCAGATTTGAGAATATGGCCTTATAGGAATTTTAAATTTTAGTGCAGTTAATACAAATGTAGCCTGATGCTGTTTCTTGTATTTCCTTCCAACAAAAAGACAAGCTACCATTCTTATGATCACACTCCATGTAAATATGCGTCTTTGCATATTATAACTGTTGCAGGTGGGAAAGCTGCTGCTCGATGTATTGATTTACCGAGGCATCATGACAATTGTGCTAAAGAACTCAGTTGTAACAGTATTTCATACTTCGGTAATTCATCGCTGTTATGTTGTTACTTCACATTTGTTTCCCATGTTTTTATTTATTTGGCAATTTTTTTTACTGTGTATTACTGTTTTATAAGTTTGCATTATCGTTGTTAACCGCACTTGCTCCTTATAACGAAACTGAAAGGGAAAGCATGCATTTTTAGTTCAGCTTAGTATTGTTCTAACAGTTTGATATTGAGGGGTCATTTTAATGACCAATTTGGTCAAATCATGCAGAAACTAAGATGTTCAGCCTATTAAATAGTCAGCAACACAGTTAATCCATTTTGTTGAAATCAATTTTAGCCGTGAGACATCTAATTTCCTGTATAAATTTGTGATTTATGATAAGGTTTTGTTCAATGAGGCATAGTTTTATCCTACAGCCCCTAAAAATAGAGAAAATGTAGCCTACTCTTTTTACAGAAATAAGCCAATCTTTTGCAATGTGAAATCCCCAGATGTGTTATTATTTATGTAGTTGCCAATTTAAATCAACTGTATCTGATGTTTAATTTCATGTTATCTTTAAAGGATGATGGTGATAGCAATGAAAAAGTCGTTGCTCGGCCCTTTTTAATGAGAACAAAGACTGTGGAGGACAGAGATAAACTTGTTGCCGCCATTCAGGATTACGCGCCTGCAAGCTGAGACTCGATAATTATATATGCTTTATTGTACATACCATTTTGGTCTACGTCTAGCTCAAGGTCCCTGCGTTATTGGGGTTTTTTTCAATGGTTAACATCCATAATTTAAAGATTTTAGGACTTGTGAATTTCACATGCCTGAGGAAATCCAAGATGTGTAGCACGATCCGTATGCCTGTTTATTTCAGGGGGAGAGGTGCAGCATAAATACCTTTTTATTTTTTTCTTGCTTCTTCTTTGATATTACCAATTTCCAAGTTTGATGTGTGCTTTCTGAATATTTACTCTTGATATTTGTAGTTGGTATTAATTTTGTTTGTTCATTTGTGAACATTCTGTCTTTGCTATATAACAAACTAGTACGTAATCTGTGCCATGTATGGATTGTATTTTTTCGTAAAATTTATAAATTGAAGGTTACTAATCCATAAGTTAGAATACGTAGAGCATTTGTCGAATAATCATAAAATGTTCGTCATTATAGAGTCGTATAATATTGAAAACCTTGTTAATTTTCATGCAAAATCATTTTGCACTTGTCAATTGTAGACCAATATTTATCAAGATTGTTCTACACTTGGTAATTGTGAATTGCATAGAAACTTCATTCTTTTAATTCTTTGTTCGATTTTTGAAATATTAAAACTACGAAATAAAATTATAGTGAAAATATAATTTATTGGGTGAAATTTAATTTTATATGGAATATAAGAAAAATTATTACCTTGAAGTGTGGATTATGAGTATATATATGTTTTTTTTTTTTTCAATCATTCTCATTTTTTATACCAAATCTATTTCAATATTTATAACATATTTCCTTTTGTTATGTTTTAATAGAGATTTGGAATCTCGATTGTATCTTTTGTAAACAATATTTACAATAATAATTACATTAAAAAATGACATTTTATAATTTGTAGCTCGAAACTAAATAAATGAATTGGATATTTTAAGAAAAAAAAGCGTTTCGTAAATAAAATCATTTGTGTATATCTAAATTTCATTTTGCATGGGTCTTGTGTATATCTCTTTTGAATAAGGCATCAATTTTTTTTTATTTTTTTTTATTTTTGGTTTAGATTCATAATGTATAACTTTTTTCGTGATAAATAAGGATATGAGAATCGCATTATTTTGTATATGTAAAGGATAAGTTTGAATGATAATCGTGTATCCTGAAAATTTGAATATTATTTATTCAAAAAAGCTTGTTACATTTTGCATGGAAAAGGTCCAACTGTTGTTGTTATTTATATCGCATTTTTATATTAAAATTATTTTTATAAATAAAAATATAAAAATAAACTTTAGAATGTAATATGTCCAATTCTATGTTTAAATTTTGTATATAAATAAAATATATGTACTGTCCAAAATTAGAATGAGATTTTATTTTTTTAATAGGCGGTTTTAAAATTCTAGGGTATTTTGTTTAAAATTCCATTGCATAATGGTTAATTATGTGGCATTGTTTAAAATAGCTTACTATGTAGCTCGCTTTAGAACTTTTCTTTTTTTTTTTTTTCAAAAAATGCGACGTAGCCTTATATATTTAGCGTTTTCCCAAAAAGCTTATGCGAAAGTTGAAATGACACGTTTTCTTACGCTATTTCACGCTATTGTGCGCCATTGCGCTATATTTCTGCAACGACATTTAAACAATAAAATATTCAAAAACACGTATTTATTAGTGATGTCATATTTACAAATAACAACTAAAATCTAATTTTTTTTATAATGATTTCAAATTAAATGTTTGTAAATGCAAAATACTAAGTTAAATAGTGCAACACTGATTGGTCTATTTTTGTTATTTCATTTTATTTTTCGATATTTTACATTTAAGTAAAGAATAAAAAGTTCATATCTAATGGTTAGAATTAAATTATAGTTAAATAAAAAAAATAATTAAAATGCATATATACTTGAAATTTTACTATGACTTACCTCATTATATTTTCGTTGTTTGTTTTTACTTTCTCGTATATTGGATTTATTTTTTGAATATTTATATTATGATATTTACATTAAAAATTTGTGAGAAATAATTCGTAGATGTTATTTTTTAAGTCATACAAATACTATGATAAATTTTGTACTCAATATACTTGTAATATTTTCTATAAAGAAAAAAAATTACACCCAAATAGTTTACGCAACACGCAAGCTATTTACGCTATGCATTACGCTATACTCATTTTAAAACATTGTTATATGATTTATTTGGACATGCGATTATTATATTCGTGAATTTTGAGTTGATTTATTTATTTATTTTTTTTTTCATATCAGAGTATAAAAGAAAGAGCATATATATATATATAATGACTTGTAAAAAATGTCCTCACACATAAAATTCATGTAAAAAACAAATGAGATAAGCAACTCAGTACAAATGTAATTATGTGATATAAAAACAAACGATATAAGTCATAAATAACAAACATAAAACGTCTTAAACCCTCTCACTCAGGTAACCTCTTCTCACTCTGGTAAACTCACCCTCTCACATAGGTAACCTCTTCTGAGTACCATTGTGGAACGCATATTTGCAAATACGAGATGTAATCGAATTTTAGCAAAGCCCATGAAACCGCCAGTGGTACCATGACTATTTTTGACATACGTAATACTTCTCTCTCGTATCACTATAGTACAAGTGTAGTAGCATGCATTGATCCAGTAGACAACATCATAACAAAATTTCATACTCAAGAATTCTCTACTATAAAGTACATACTTAAGTATAATGTATATACACACACCTCTACTTAACTAAATATAATATACTTCAAGTTGACATATTCAACATTTTCCTACTTATTTATATACGTTATATTTAGGAGGATGTATTCAATCAAGACTTTTAAAATTTTTTAAAACTTTCAAAATTCTAGTGTATTCAACCGAAACTTTTTTAGACTTCTAAAAAATTTACATGTATTCAATTGAGACTTTTAAAGATTTTTTTATAAATTTCTAAAAGTCTCATTGTATTCAGTTGAAACTTTTTAAGAGCCTCAATAAGTTTCTCGGTATTCAAAGTAAAAAGACTTTATAACATTTATTAAAATGGAAGACTTTTGGAGACATTTCTAATAAAATTACGAAAAAAAAGTTTCAACAGAAATCTAATCAAATTGGTGAAATTTTGCTATGGAAGTCTCAAAATGAACACTAAAATTATTAGAATTTCATAAAATCCACCAAAGTCACTCACTTTACACCCACACACTTAAATATAATATATATACCAAATGGATAATTTTCTTTTCTTATATATAGATAGATATGTATTTGCCTTTACATATGCTCATATATAATTTTCTTCAAGTTACTAAATAAATCAAACTAATGGAAACCCTAACTTGTCTCTAATAATAATTCACGAGAAATTAAATCCGGGTTGATGTTTTTGATTTTTCTTTCCATGGTTTTATCATAGAAAATTTGCATTAGACAAAATTTTGGGTACGAAGAATTTCATAGTAAATAAAATTGTACAGTTAATTATGAAATTGTTAGTAAAATGAAAATATAGAAAAGGTGGTAATACTACTATGTTACTAAGATAAAAATACTAAATAAGGAAAAAATATATTAAAATCTCACAGTGTTCCAAGCACAAACTCAAGTGTCATCATCAAACCTCAACGGTCTTCTTTATATAATGGAACTGGCCCGGCCCGCAGGGTGGGTGGGCCTCAATCTCATGGCCCGTAATCGGCCCGCCCATTTATATAATGGAACTAGCCCTGTATCGCCAGTTCACCGATCCGGCAGGTTTTGGGCCGGCCATTAAAAAAATAACACTATAGCCCGTCGTCTAAGTCGTGGTCCGACTCGGCCCGTCCAAACCAGCGGGACAAAAACAAATTATGAACTGGGACCAAACCGTGACCAAACCGGGACCGATTCGGCCCGTGAACATGTCTAAAGACAATATTAAGATAAGGATATAATGAGAATAGATAATAGTACATATGCTTTTTATTTTGGTAGACCTAATTTAATTAAACATAACAAAATATTATAGCCACAACAATCTCGAAGTTTAACTCATATTTAACTCACCATCAGCTAGTTTGTGTTCTAGAAAAAAGCCCTTGTCCATCTCCAAGATTATAAACCAATTTTATTTATTCGGAATTGGAAGTGCGCTATGAGATTTAACACCTAAACTTTCGGATGGATATAAAGCATTTCAGACTTTCATTAATGAGGTAATTGGCATTTCAGATTTCCATTCATAAAATAGTGTCAATTAGAAATATTAACGATATAATTAGTATTTCAGATTTCAATCATAAAATAGAAATAAAGTGGGTGCTGGTTAATTATTAAAGTATAATATAATAACAAAATATTGCTTCAAGTCACTCATAACCTCTCAACAAACACAAATTCATGTGTGATGAGGCTTAACATTAGACGGATCGATTATATCATACATTTGTAACAAAATTACATAATTGTACTGTGAAATGTCATAACTTATTCTATGTTGTTTTTTGGAGTGTATATGACAATTCAGTTTGAAAATATGCATATCGGTTGAAATAGTATGAATGTCTACATGTTAGGTTTGCCTAACGTACTGCTCTACAAATACAAATTCGGCTATGAGGCAGCAGAATTATTACGCTAGTCGGCTCATCATGCTTTTTGAATGAAGAACATACTTCTATTGAATGTTTTATTTTATTTTAAAACATAAAAATTTAGTATAAATAATGCATATTAGCTACAAAAATATGGTAGCTCACTTGGCCTACCTAGCAGCAGTCTACTGTGTACAATCAAGGGTTAATATACACCATAAACTAGGTTTACAAACCACTCGAGCCTTCATTAAGCAATGCTAATCCAACTAGAGTTGTTGAAGTATGAATAATGGAATGGTTGATATGGGAGTTTGGTTAAGTGTCTAGGGCATGCATCTTTTTTAGCATGAAAACATCTTAATATGTTGAAAGGAAAAGTCGCCAGGAAAGATGAAAGATTATATAATTTTACGCGATTTAAATTTCATATAACGTTTTAAATAAATTAATATAGGTAAATTATTACATATTGATTTTGTATTTAAAATTTATATATAATATTTAATGAATATTTTTAATATACAAATATTAATGAATATCCCTTTACTCTTGCACATTGTAATAATTAATATACAAATTATTACAAGTATTTTTAATGAATATTCGTGCTAGTTAAATAAAAGTAGAAAGCATAATGGTAATATAAGAAAAAGAAATGTAAATGTGCAAAAAAAAAAAAAAAGAAGGAAAATATAATCGGGAAATTATAAATAGGGGATTCATTAGACTCCACATCGCAAATAGAGATGTTAAACGGTCCTTAGCCCGACGGGTCGACCCGTTTAGCCTAAAAAAAACAGGGTTAGAGCTTTTTTATTGGTAGCCGTTTAAATCAGGGTTTTTTAAGCTCGGACCGTTTAAACCGAAGCCCGTTAGAGTTAGCCCGAAACCCGCTAGGGCTGACCCGTTTAACTTGAGTTGGGCGTTGTAAATATTTGCAGCAAGTAAGTAATATACTCTTAGATTCATTGTATATTAAAATTTTGCTATTCCACTTCATATATAAGTATGAGCTGTAACGGATTATATTGATTTTGAAAGATAATTATTAACAATATTTCTATTGTACTCCACACCAAAATATTTAACTCAATCAGAACGACTAGTAGGAAACAAATGAGACAAAGACCTCACATGAAATATAGTGATAGAATTTATAGTGATATAATATCGTAAAAAATTCCAAAGTGTACAAAATAAGTAGTGAAATAATTCAAATATTTTTTTCTTTTGAAAAAAAAAATATTATTTAAGAGTTTGTAGTATATGTTCATATATGATGTGTAGTTGTATCTATAGAGCGGCAAATAATAAATACGTTGAAAATAATCGTTAATTAGTTGTTGTAATTTTTTATAATTTTTTTCTTTTAATTTTTGATATTTTTTGATACATTATTATTATTATTATTATTATTATTATTATTATTATTAAAGTTCACTTAGCCCGAAGTCCGCTAAAATTAGGGTTAAGTCTTCTTATTGATAACCCGTTTAAATTCCAAATTTTTAGGCCCGGACCGTTTAACCCGAAACCCATTAGGACTATCCCGTTTAACATCTGGCAAACAACGTTAGAAAAGTGAATTAGGAGAGACGGAGAGAGCCCAAGCATCGGGGTAACAATGACGATGGTGACGGACCCGACTCTCGACGATGACAAATGGGGATTGTTTGTCCGCTACAAGCGCAAGTTTTGGTTCGAAGATAACGATTACGATGTCAGTGAATCCTTTTTCTACCCATACGACACGGAGATTCGTCGTCCCAATACAATCGAGCTGGTCAAGAGATTCCTCAAACAAGTCCGCGAATCCAGGGTATCTATCCCTATAATCCCTTCTTCTCCTTCTCTGTCCCCGTACTGATTCTACCGGTGGTCGTTTTTTTTGTTGAAATCCGATTGTTCATAATTAGGGTTTTGCTCGCCTAATTGGTCCTGTGATTTGTTTTTTTTTAATCATTAATGTGTTTGGGGGCTCTGATTTGCTGCATTTGGTCTCTATACTTGTTAATTTTGTTTAATTATACTTTTTTTATATGTTGGTTTGTTTTGTTGTTTGTTTTCTCAAATCAGGATTATGCTTTGTTTGCTATGTTTTTTTTTTTTTTTTTTTTTTTTT